GCCACCTGACTTTTTTGGAATTCGGTTCCAGCAATAGAGATGATGGAAACACAGTAGCTTTAATATACTTCTATCTGAAAAAGGCCTTTGACAAAGTTCCCCATAAAAGACTACTGGTGAAGCTCAAAAGTCATGAAATTAGGCCTCCCCTTCTCGATTTTCTTAAATCCTATTATCAAAAGCGATATCAAATGATGCAAATTCGAAACGCAGTCTCAGAACCGTCCCCTATTGCCAGTGGAGTATTTCAAGGCACTATCCTAGGCCCCATTCTATTTCTCGTATATATTCACGACTTATCGTCCATATCAGTATCAGCTAAGACGTTTTTATATGCGGACGACCTTAAACTTGCATATACATATAACGGGAATACAGTTGCCAATATTCACAGAACAATTGAAAATGACCTCAGAAAACTCAGCTAATGGTGTAGTCAATGGCAGATGCCCTTTTCACTCGAAAAATGTCATCTCCTGATCTTTGGCCCACAAAAACTTCCGCCCATAATTTTCGAGGATAATGAAATAACGGAGGCCCTATCAGCAAAAGATTTAGGTCTCAGCTATACAAATACCCTTGATTTATCTCCCCACTTCCAACGAATATCGCCGAAAGCCACTCGCCTATGTGGATTCATATGCAAAAATTCCACCTTAAATTCACTAAGAATACAACTTTTCAAAATGTACGTTTTACCCCTCTTAGATTATTGCTTAATTTTCTTAAGTATAATGTCCTCAGACGGCCGAAAGAAACTAGAAGGCATTTAGAGACGTTTTACTAGATCTTTGTCCAGAAATGATAACACCCAGGGTTCATACTTAGAACTATATCATCAGTCAGTCAGTCAGTGTATTTGAGTGGAATAGGCTTACGCCTTTGAACTCCCTATTTGTACATAAAAAATCGATAAACAAGCAAAAATGTGAAGAAATTACAGCATTAAGTGAATGCATACATTGATTCACATATGTCACTAGTCACATGGCTAAAAAGTCACATAGTCCGCTTGTTGCTGCAGCATATATCTGTCAAGGTTACATTTAAATGTCTCCACAGCTTGAGACATAACAACCGTTTCGGGCAGGTTATTCCACGGTTCCACGACACGGTTGAAAAAGAAATATTTTCTCACATTCAGTCTACCCTGTGGCACACGTAGCTTGAAGAGATGTCCCCGGAGGTGAGTTGTAGTGGCGAGTTGGACAAAGTCATCGCGCCGAAGGGCACAATCCAAGCCGCGCACGATACGGAAAGTTTGTATCATGTCTCCGCGCAACTGCCTATAACTCAGAGAATAGAGATTAAGGTTAGTTAAGCGGATCTCGTTTGGCAGTGCACTTTGAACTCTTACTAATTTCTTACTAATATCATAAATACGATCTTCGACCAGTCTGGGTCAGAAGACTCCAAAATGGTCTTAACTTCCTATTCAAGGTCACCCATGACCAAAATATTCTAAAAATGAATTTACTAACAAACCAAAACGCCCCCAGAAGCATCAGAAATAAGAAAGATATTATAAGGATTCCCAAATTCACAAAGTCCCAACGGTCGAATTTCTACACCATAAGATATGCCACTATCTGGAATGCTCTTCTAAGTTTTATCCGGAAAATTCGAACCCTAATCGAGTTTAAAACAAAAACAAAGAAATTCCTTTCAAATAACAATACACATTTATTTATGAATAAAATAGGACATTTTTCAAGTCAATTCTATGATATAGAATTTGGTCCGAAAGGGCTCTGATGATACCAACCGCTAGTATGACACCAGAGCATTGCGCTTAAAACAATCAAATTTATGAAAGATAGCATCATAGTTTCTATGGGCTATGTAACCTGACACGAAATATCCCTTAAGGAGCAAATAATAACATCCCTTTCGATAAAACCCTACATATGAGTTCTACGTAAGTCCATAATAAAGTCATATTAATCATATATACCACCAAGTCACTGACTCGTGCCAGCGTCGTCAAAACAAATGATACATCCTGTATTACGCATGATATTAATTACTGCAGTGTTGGACGTTCTGCTGTCAGACCAATGCCCGTAAAACGAGCAAAAAGTCTAGTGACGTTGGGGGATGGCACATACGACGATGAAATCTGTACCACATGTTTCGGACTCATCCATAAGTTTTCGAAAATGGAGGTGGAGTTAAAAGGTCTAAAAATGGAGGTAGAAAAGTTAAGGAAGCTTACTCATCACTTACGTGAAGAGAAGAAGCCGACGAATGCGGCAATCCAGAATCCGAAAAAAAAACATATGCAACCACGGCTTCTTTAGCCATATCAAACGTTGAAACTGACGAAGGTTCGTCCAGGGAACTAGACACAGTTGAATGTCAGTCTCTTAGGCGAGAAAAAGACCAGTCAAAGCGAACTCAGATAACAATGAAACATCCCAGAAAAACAATGCGCACCTCTGTACGGTCCAAAAAAACATAGGCTGCCTACGTACACGCAGACCAGCGAAGGAGAACGACCAGGAGGCCTACGAAGGACCGCCGGAGGCTCCCAAATATGTTGAACAATAAAGATATCGGAACACCTTGTGGACCGAATATTCAGGAGGAGGCTTCGAAGAAACTGAGGTAAGCTTTTTCGACGAACGCCTCGGAAACACAGAAGGAAGGGTTATCAACAGGAAGATAAATGAATCGTACACGGATCTCAGTTTTGCTAGCCCAATAGCTACTTCATCCGAAACCGGCGAAACTAGTAAACTAGAGAAAAACGCTCAGTCACTCAAAAGATATGTGACAACAACGACCACTAGGTTCAGTCGCAAGCAAAATGTAGTTATAAAAGGAGTACCCGAATCAACGGCAACAATTCCAAAGGAGAGAGTGATGCATCACTTAGACCTTCTTCAAGTGTAGGCGAAAGCTTTGTTAAGAGACGATGAGTCACTTAGTGTTCTCAAAGCATTCCGAATAGGGAAGAGTCAGTCAGCATCCGGTTCCAATTCCCGGCCTCGACCCCTAAAAGTCATTTTGGAGACTGAAGAACAGGCCCAGCTCCTGTTACAGAGAAAATCATCTCTGCGGGGTCAGCATCCTGAAGTTTTTTCAGCCGGATTACGAGCCAAAAGATCGAATGAAAATGAGAGAGCTGATGACGGAGTTGGATAGGCGGAGAGGCAGCGGCGAAGCACACCTACAAATCAAGAACGGACAAATAATTCAGGTCAAAGGGACATTTCTCTGGCCGAAGGCCGTCATACTGACAGCCTAACGGATGCAAAGGTGCCAACTCCTGAGGCTGCTCGAACCAGTAGCTGCTGTCTATAACTCTATTACACTAACTGTCAGAGTCCTCTCAAAAAGCTATACGAACTCAGATTACTAATCTCTGAACAGAAGCCACACAGAATTGTCCTAACAGAGACATGGTTGACTGAGGAAATTAGTAGTAACGAAGTCAGAATTGAAGGCTACCAACTGTTCCGTTGTGACAGATTTCAGCGTAGAGGAGGAGGCACAGCTATTTATGTGTCAAATGAAATTGCGTTCTGTCAACGAGAAATATCCGATGGTGCGCCCTAAAGTTTGAAATAATTTCATGCAAGGTTTGTATCAAACAATTACCGACACTGAACCTGTGTGTTGTCTATCGGCCTCCCCGCTAGAATGAAATCGCCGATATGGAATTACTTAGTGCACTGGAGTTTTTATGTAGGCAGGAGAACTTACTACTTCTGGGTGACTTCAACGCTCCAAGAATAGACTGGAACATTCCCTAACAAACGCCCCGTCCACGTCATTTGACCACAAGCTACGACAACTTTCCCTGAATGAATACCTCATTCAGCACATAAAATTTGGAAAAGAATGAGAGAAGGACAATGATCTAACTGTTAAGATCTCGTTTTCAGTAAAGAAGAAGGACTCATAAGGGAAGTGAATCCACAACCTCCACTCGGTTTAAGCGATCATATTGCTTTTACCTGCGTGTGCTCTCCCCTATCCAACCGACAACCAAAAATCAAGAGGCGCAGAAATATTTGGAAGGGTGACTTTAACGCAATGAGACGCACTCTTTTGGAGGAAACCTGGTTGGTCAACAAAGAAGATTCAGACGAAGTCTGGTAGTACTTTCGCGGGATTATAGAGCGTCTAATTGATTCCCATTGTCCAATAAAAATGACAAGAGCATGTTCGCGACCGCCGTGGGTCAATCCGACGACAAAAAAGACCATGAAGAAGAAACAGAGACTCTGGAAAAAGTATTTGCAACTTCGAGATCCAAGGTCACTCGCCGAATATAAAGATCAGCGCAATAAATGCCGCAAAGAAATACGGGATGCTAGAACTTCTTTCGAGCGTCGACTGATAGCAGAATCCATTGCATGTCCCAAGAAGTTTTACGGGTACATCCGCAGTAGGAGGAAACATACGGACGAAGTTGCGTGTCTAAAGGATAGCCTCGGAAACTTATTAGTTGAAGGGCCACAGAAAGTGCGATAACTGTCTCGGTTTTTTCAATCGGTTTTTACGGAGGAGTCCTCAGAAGACATTCAGCAGTTTGAAATGGACCAAGACAGCCGGGAGCTTCAAATGCGCCAAGATATTGCCGTCATTGAAACCGTCGCCTTTTCCATCGAAGAAGTCAGATGCGTCCTCAGTCAAATTTAATCTGGACCCGACGGAATTCCTGGGCTGATACTTAAGGAGATATCAACGGAGCTGTCAAAGCCTCTTTCGACTCTCTTTGAGCTGCCAATGAGAACAGGAAGGCTGCCCCCACAGTGGAAGACAGCTAACCTCGTTCCATTGCATAAGGGAGGGAGCAGGATGACAGCAAGCAGCTTTAGGTCTATTAGCTTAACTTGCCTCCCTTGCAAAACGATGGAAGCTATAGTAACGTGCGCTATACAGCAACTTTTGAAGAAAATAACATCTTGCAGGATTTTCAACATGGCTTCCGGAGAGGACGTTCCTGCCTCTCAAATCTGCTAGCTTGTCTGGAGATCTGGACCAGGGCTCTAGAAGAGGGTTTTGAGGTCGATGTTGTATACATCGATTTCCGCAAAGCTTTTGACACTGTCCCGTACCAACGTCTTCTTTCCAAATTGAGCGCCATCGGCATCCGGGGAGATCTTCTGAACTGGATTAGGGCGTTTCTGGTTGGTCGGAAACAACGTGTCTGTATCGGGGATGATATGTCAGAATGGGTGAACGTGACCAGTGGTGTGCCGCAAGGCTCAGTTCTGGGACCATTGTTCTTCATCATTTACGTTAACGACAGTCTTCAGGAACTCGACTGCGGCAAAATAATGTTTGCAGACGACGTTAAGCTCTGGCAAGTCATTAAGGGTCCGAATGATCAGAGATCCCTTCAAGATAATTCGCACCGACGGCAAGTGTGGTCGGGGAAATGGCTTCTAGATTTGAATGTGGAGAATTGTACCGTCCTTCATCTGCGTCCAACCAACTCTCATTCAAATGAGAGCCTGGGGGCATATCACCTGAAAGATATAAGGCTCCCGCAGAATCTTCACAGAAGGATCTCGGGGTTTGGATACATAGCAACCTGAAAGCAACACTGTAGTGCCACAAGGCTGCAAAAAACGCCATGGGAGTGTTGCATGCAATCAAAAGGGCTTTCGTAAACTTTGACCAAGACCATTTTGGGAGAGTTTACGGCACCTTTGCTCGGCCCCACTTAGAATTTGGCATAAAAGCATGACGCCCATGGCTAGAAAAGGACCAGGCATTCCTCGAACGAGTACAACGGCGTGCAGCAAAGCTGGTAAACGGTCTAAAAAGCCAATCCTACACAGACAGACTGAATTGCCTTAATTTATTCCCTCTGTGTTACAGGCAGCAAAGAGGTGATCTTATCTTCGTCTACAAGATAATACATGGCCTTGAGCATGGACTTAGCTTTGAGGACGTGTTTTAATGGCACCTTTCATCCAATCTTCGTGGTAACTCGATGAAGTCACGGACAACAATGTCCAAGCTGAATCTTCGTTCTGAATTTTTCACGCAGAGAGTAGTGGAGAAATGGGACGATCTCCGTCAGTCAGTCTTGGAGGCTACATCTCTGCAACTCTTCAAGAACCGTTTGGATGATTATTTGTGTCCCATGTTTTCCCTCGACAGTCTGAATCTGAACTAATACCCCACAATCCCGGAAATATTTTCTCTGATACAATGCTACTCATATGAATCAAGTACTGTTTTAATAGCGAATATTTTTATTGCTCGTGTACAGTTATTTCTAACGAGCTGGCATGTAATCAATAGGGTTTTCAAAGGCTTTGCCTATTATCCTTACCAAATAAACTGAATAAAATGAACTATATTAGATCATAGTAAACAGTCAACCACCACTCCTATAAGGTCACATTCACAAGATTCAATATGATACATGATTCAGTATTATTTTAACATATCTGATTTCGACTTACCATTGAATGCTTCTGACTCCTGATATATGGCAAGCTTCCAGAAAAACACGAAGGAAATGTGCGACCGCCCCTTTAGAGCTGACCAGATAGACTGACAACCACCAACTAGAATGTAGTAGGCGGGTCGTCCTGGGTTTCCAGCTGGGGGATTAGTTCCTGACTAACGTCGGCTCGCTCGATTGAAGGGAATGTGGACGGGGTCGATGTCCCCTTTCCTGAACGGCTGTACTTAGATTTTGGCATCAGGCGATCAGACAATATCTCAACGTACCAGGTAGGGTCCGAGCAGTCAAAGAAGGCGCAACAGGTAAACAATACATTGAGAGAGGGAGAGGTATGAAAACGGGAGGACAAGGAGAGTCAGAGGTGCACCAAGTCCCAGGAAGTAAAAGGGGATGCTTGGTGGTCAGGAAGATGGTGTCGGGGTACAATATCCACGGGGTCTTCGACAGCGCTTTGAACTAGTCCGCCGTCCTCACCTGAAACTCCAGAGAAAAGACACACACTCAAACCACGGCACAAACCTCCTGCTTCCTTTTTGCTCGCCTCTACGTTCCTTTCCTCTTTTTAACAAAACCTGCCTTTCCGGTTCTTTCAAGAACACACCAAAATTTACCCAACTGGATAAAACTTTCAAGGTCAGGCCGATATCAATGTTCTTCAATTTCCATGAAGGACATATTATTCCTGCTCACCCAGAAACTACCAAACTGCACACTTCAATGTTTATGTTGTACATATCGTTCTTTCTTAAAACTTTGTGGTTATGTTTCTTTGGAACTCAGGTACTTTTTAACTTAAAACAAACTCTCAATTCGCGCTCTATTGGCTAAAGAGACACCCAAGATAAAAGCAGTCAAAGTGCAGTCGAAATGGATGAGTTTTCTTTAGTTTTTTTTTCTGTGTTCAAGGGACCCTGACAGTGCCAAAGGGGCGCTGTAATAAACCTATTCTATTCTATCCTGTTAGTGCTATCTCACAATCACCTACGTTTCCTGACAGCCACGTTTCTTTTTTTACTATAATATCCGAAGAAGTATCGGCTACCTGCATTCTCAGTTCGTCAAGCTTGGAAAACAGACTCTGAGCATTGATGTGAAAGAATTTAAGTTTACAACATTCGACAGTACTTCGTTCGGTTTGTCTCGGGCTTGCCAATATTATGTTGCTGCCGCCATCATGATGACTGGCTGGTTCCAGAGCAACATCGCATTCCTCTGTATCACTCGTCCCCTGAAAATTGCCAAGTTGTTCTCTCCTGCTGCAAGTCTCCTCTTCAGCTCCGTCATGAATTCGCGGTGTCTCGGACGCTCCGCTGGACAGAAGTAAGCTGGTCTCCTCTTTACTGCCCAAAACATTTTCCAGAGGTCGTGGCCGCACAGTTTCCGATTGTTCGCTCATCTTCTTTCCGATCCTGAAGGCTGCGCGAATGGTAACGCTTTCAGTTGAATTAAGCATCTTGTTCAGTAGGTTTTGAAGCATATCGAGGTCAGCGGACATACTCTCCTTCGGGGTAAAAGCATTCGACTCCGATAGGCCCTGGACGAGTACGCAGTGATGACGATCCAGGAGTTCATTTGTTCTTTTTCCGGCGGCCTTGTGAGCTGAAGGTCTCAGGAGATCCACCGGAGTCGTCTGGGGTTTTATACTCCTGTTGTGGTGCCTACTCATTGCACCTTGTCAAGAGTTTGCTTCCTCAATTCTAACCGACGGTTCTACTTAACACGCGGAATGGCTAAGAGAAGTTGATGGTTCGCTTCGGTTGTCTTCCATAGAAACAGGAGACTCCGTGCTATTTTCCCATCGTCAAGGGTATCGGCGTCCGTGCACTGAGTTTTTCCACAAACGGTATTCTTTGGCTGTTTTGGAGTTTTACTGTTTCCATTTGTCTTGCTAATTCTAGAGCTGTTAACCACGTTTTGCCCACCATCGTTCGCTTGCACGAGTTCCCTTAAAGCAGCCAGCTCTTTTTCGAGTTTTTGCACTTTCAGCAGAATATAGGAGCACCCAGTGCACGGTTCGTCCTCGTAACTAACAGATTTTGCTGTGAGTACGCTTTTAGCGCGCTTTGCGGGCCACTGGTTGCAATTATAGAGAGAGCGAACGCTAATCCTGGAAGGCAAGGCAAGGCCATGTCAATAGACTTTCCGTCATGCATTGTGCCGGTCCTGGTCGTGGAACTATCAAAAATTTGCTCTGTGTCCATTAACTTCGTGCGTTCGTAAGTATATATTCGCTTTCGAGATTCAATCTGAAAATTACGACTGTATACGATGGAGAAAGACAAGTATACGAAAGGAAATGGTAAAAAGCACGCCTATTTTTCAAAAAGTCGCTGTAGATAAAAAATTGAACGGTATGAAATAAACGTAGGGGTGACTCAGCCGTTTTAAGAATATCGAGGGTCCCAAATAACTCCTGTTCATCCTGGGCGTCAACGATTTTGTTTTCCTAGGCCGATATCTGCGCGCGAATCGACTCCGTAGTCCGTTGGATTTTGATGAAAAATTAACTCCGCTTAGAGACAGACTTCTGATAAATATCCACGCGAGAATAAATTTCCAGAGAAGCAGAAAGAAATTTGGCACGTACAGTTTCAACGGCAACTTCAGAGACGGTATATGTGAAGTGGTATCTACGTCAAAATAGTCCCAGTTGGAACGCAGAAAATGTCGTTGTGCTCAGTCGGGCCCCAGTAGATAACTGAAATCACCAGGCAGCATTACGTGTTTGTAATGACAAAGTTCTTTTCGCTTGACGATGAGTGTGTCGTTTGAATCCTTCCGCCGTCCCAGCAAGCCATAAGCCAGGTCAGCATGGAGTTCTGTTTGGCACGGTAGTAGTTCAGTATGTTTAGGAGTAGCTAGCAATGCCTTTGAATGTTCAAATAAACATGCTACTCAAGTGTCGTCAGTAAAATGTGCAGTTTGCAGAGTATCATTACAAAGGTGTGAGACTGCAACTCGGGCACCCTCGGCTGTAAGGCATAATGTTTAATATGAAACAATAGTTGTCCGGATAATAATAATAATAATTTTATTTAATGCCAGTTTACTGGCACTGTCAAAGAAAGACAAAACACAGGTCGGACTCACAGTGAGAAACTCCTTATGATTAAATACTGAGGATGAGATTTTGGTAGCTTGGATGGTTCAATAGAAAAAAAAAACTGCCGTCCATGAAATGATGTCACTTCAGGAAGGTGTGGGTCACACTGGTCGGATATCTTCGGTCTCAGTTCATCCACATGCGATTGCTACTGGACCAAACTGAGGCATTGAAAAACCGTTTTTCGCCGGTCCTAGTGGAACCGGCCACCTGATCAGAGACCACGAACGCCATCGCTACGGTATATTCGATCGATGTATCCAGCAACAAAAATTTGTGGGTTTTTCTGAATGCAGAAAACGAGTAATTGTCCTTTCAAGCAAAGGATGATTGTGCAGAATTTTCAAATTCCTGTGTAATTTTTCCAGACACCGATGACATTTACTGAAAAGAACCGACGATATTTAACGGTACATGCTAGAGGAAGAAATAAAAAGACCTCACGGTGACTGTGACGTCGGGAGTGCACAAGATCTTTTAAAGTAGTAAACAGGTTATAGGTACGATTATACGAAAGCTTAAATAGTAAAAAAAGTTCCTTTTGTTGCCGATGAAACCACAAAGGATCAAGGCCTGTAAGACAGCAACGTTCTTGGTAAGACAAATTCCGGTGTGGCGGGGTTAAAATTCTGTTGGTTATAAAATGTTGGACGGAATCTATTTTTTTCGCTCAGCGGCATTCATGAGGCTCAATAAAAACGAATAGTATTCCAGGCCAGGTGTGACATAAATTTCGTAAGGGCGAATTCTATCATCGTTAGTTTTGAAATTTTGGGGGACAAACACGGTCGTTCTGCGTGATTTGGAGACTATCAGGGTGCAGTGTTCTGAGATATTAAGACTCCCGGAATATGATACACACAGATCCTTAATAAGCACAGAAACATTTATGTCGTGACCGTCAATATTTAGTTGAGGTTGGTGGTCGTCGCCAACCACCACGTCTGAGCATCTATGTCAAGAAAGATAAAGGCGTCATATGCAGAAGTACTGGGCAAAGGCCTTTAGGCCGCTCTCTAGGAGTTCGAGCATCATCTCTTGATCTGCCGACATATACCTAAATGTAACTTTCAGACCGCCGGCACAAATGAAGGGCTTAACAAACCGGAATAAATCTGGTACATCGTTAAGAAAGGCAAAATAACAGCAGGCCGAGTACACTACTCTGAATGACTCCACTCCTCACAAATGTGGGGTTGGAGGTAGCATTGGAATCTAAACTTGTTGTGTACGAACGCCCAGGTAAGAGGATATCATAATCAGAAGTTTGCTACCTATTCCGAAAGAGGAAAGTTTCAAGAAAAGAAGAAGAGCATGGTCAGCACAATCAAAACCCTTCGCGAAATCTAAATAGGCTGTGTGAAGTGCAAAACCATTGTCCCTAGATTGGAGAACATGATTAAAGAAAGAGAGCTGACAGGTGTTACAAGGCCGAGCTTTGAGGAATCCATGCTGAGCAGCACTCTGTGGGTTTTTATCTAATAAGTGACACATCACCTTCTCTTTGATCAATGTCTCTAAGATTTTCGAAAGTTCCCGGGAGGGTGTGTTTTGGTTGAAAGTCATCAGATCACCTCAATTTTACATGCATAGGAATGGGCAAAGTGCCTGATTCCTACTACAAAGTAGAATAGGTTTCAGTCTCAAGTGCGAGATTTAATATCTTGCATAAGAGTAATGAGAAAATTTCATCGGCATCCGCTTGCTCCGACATCATCGAGTCCAGCGCTTTGAGACTGACAGGAACGCCGAATTGCTACAATCACATCCCACACGGTGAAGCTTACGGTCTCCTAGACTGTCCCGGTCAATGCTTGGATGGTCGGAAGCGGAAAAGTCGCATTTTCAACAATAGTTTTGGACAGGAAAGCATTGAAACTATCTGTTATCAACTGGGCATCAGCTAAAGGATTCCCGAAAACGTCTCAGAGGATGGAATGCTACGTACTTATTGGAAGAAAAGTTTTGAGACATTTAAGGAACGGTTTCCAGGGAAGTCGACTCCTAGGTCAGCTGTTTTTTTTTCGGACAATCTGTTAGTCGCTCAAAAATATCAAAAATCAAAGGGCAGAACGGAAACTTCCTTCCGAAGATGGAATCGACCAGGAAGTCTGCGCAACTCGCGGGAAAAGGGCAAGGGTAGGAAAACCTCATCCCCGACATTGCTTGTTCTCTTACAGGGGACAAAACCAGAGATATGTGGATCCAAAATTTCGTATAGTTTGGCATTGTATATGTATATGTATATATTGAAGGGTTACAGGCAGAGCCCTTGATGACCCTATTTATGTACAGTGCTTTCGCAGATTCGCACTCGAAGATAAAATTGAAGGCAATCGCAATGTGATTGGGTCACCGTTCAGTTGTAAGCATTAGGTAGTGCATAGGGTCACTGTAAATGAGTGCGGAAGGATTGTACATGACAGATTTTACAAAACTGGCTGTGCATAGCCATGCTGTACAAGCCGACATCTGTCGAAAACTAGACGGGCAAGTTTTCTTTTAAACACACGAACTGTGTCAGCCGTCACCATCTCGCTTGGAAGCGAGTTCCACGGCCTGACAACCCGCTGGCTGAAGGAAAATTTTCGTCGGCCTAAACGCGTGCGCTCATTCCCGACTTTGTATGCATGGCCGCGTAGTTGGTTTGTACGGGCGGACTCAAAGAAGTTCTCTGCTCTTAATGAGCAACCCTGGCCGCGAACAATCCGGAACGTCCAGAGTAGACTGCAGTTTATTTGTCTATAAGAGAGAGGGAATAGGCCAAGGAAATTCAGCCTCTCTTGATAAGACAAATGCTTTAGACCGTCGACCATCTTTGTCGCTCTGCGTTGCACCTGTTCGAGTAAGTTGATATCCTTCCTCATCAATGACGAAGCTGCTGGCATTCCATACTCTAGATGAGGTCTTACAAAGACGCCAAAGAGTCTTTCGAAAAGTTCGGGAGGAAATATTTTAAATGCACGTCTGATCCAGTGTAGAGTACTAGTTGCCTTCTGGACCATCTTTCTGCAGTGTTCTGATGGCGATAGATTTGTGGTCGTCCATACACCCAGATCTCTGTGTCTTTCCACATTTTCCAACCTCGGCCCGTCAATATAGTACTGGTGTTTGGGAGAGGCATTGCGGCCGGTGTTCAGGTGCAAGACCACGCATTTGGACACGTTAAACTTCAAAAGCCATCTGTTCGACCAAGCACACAGTTTGTTGATGTTCGACTGCAACTTCTCTGCGTCATCGTCACACTTGGCTTCACTCCATATTTTTATGTCATCCGCGATCATGAGAGCCTCGCAATTCACTTTGCTGATGCAGTCATTAACATAAATCAGGAAGAGTACTGGGCCTAAGCCAGAACCCTGTGGGACACCACTTTCTACCTTTACCCATTCCGAGGTGAAATTTCCAACGACGACTCTTGTAGTCTGGAGGACAGAAAACGCCTGATCCACTTAAAAATTCATCCTTGAATTCCTACATCCCAGATCTTCTGTAAAAGAAGCCTGTGTGGGATACTGTCAAAGGCCTTCTTGAAGTTAAAAATATGACATCTACTGGAAAACCCTAATCGGTAGCTCGTGTCCATTTCTCGCGCGAATAAAGAACACTCGTTAGGCAGGAGCGTCCTGTACGAAAGTTGTGTTGGACATCACACAATATTTTGTTCTGTTCCATGTATTTCATCAAGTGTCTTTTGATAATTCGTTCCATTGTTTTACACGCGATGCAAGTAAGACTGACAGGACGATAATTTCCGCAGTCAAGTCATGAGCCTCCTTTATGGATCAGAGTAATGAGTACGCACTTCCATTCTTCCGGGACCTCGCCGTCATCAAATGACTTTTGAAATATTGCGGATAAGGGTTTGCACAGTTCATTAGCAAGTTCACGAAGTGCTAGTGCGGGAATTCTATCTGGGCCAGGCGATTTGGCAGGTTTCAGCCGGAGTAGCTCGGCCCTAACTATGGTAGATGAAGAGGGTGATTCCTCGGTTAAGGAGGGTAGGGAGGGGATAGGAGGGGGACGGGTACTGGGAGGAGAGGTTGGTTGGCGAATGAATGGATGGGCAAACACAGAACTAGGTTCTCGGGTGAAGACGGACTGAAAGAAGTCCGAACTAAGGAAGAAATCAGTCGAATCGTAGGAATTAAAGTATGTTACTAATTCGGTCGAGCGAGCTGATCGGAAGCCGAGGAAAACGCTATACTTTAGTGACGCAATTTTGTCAGTCTCGAGTATTAACGTTGAAAAAACTGTCGTGGTCTGAGCCTCCGAGTGGGTCTAGAGATGACACTGAAAAAGGTATGCAGCCTCTACGGAAAATTAGGTCATGTCTGCTTGATCCTCAGATGGGAAAATCAACAACCTGACTCCTAATTGTGCAATAATTTACCGTACTAACAAAACAGGTATTAGCTAAAAGCCCAGACACGCGTGTTTCGCCGATCTTATGCCGCTGCCTGACGCAGATGAGAGGAGTTCGGCTCGTCTGTCGGTCCCCCAGCATTCCCCGAGTGTTTTCTGGTATACGAACTCCGGTGTAAACTTGCCTTGTTTAATTTCCGAGGAAATTAATGCGCGAATTCGGAGTAAATCTTTCGAAACAGACCTTTTCGGGCAAGGTCCGAAGTTTGATATGAATATTTGAGCTGAAATCCATAAGCTACAGTGTTGTTAGTGCGGTACATCATTGCAAAATTCTATACTACTGGCTGCCTGTTGGCGGTTTGTAAATATTAAGCGGTTATTCCGCAGTAGCTGATGGATTTCTGCTCAAATATTCGTATCAAACTTCGCACCGTGCCTGAAAACGTCTGTTTCGAAAGAGTTACTCCAAGTTCGCGCATTAATTTCCTCGGAAATTAAACAAGACTGACTCCTAATCCCGACATCCACAGTCTCAAGAAGGCCTTTAGACCTCCTGGAGCCGGAAGGCGGAGACCAGCGAACTTCAGGGAGATTGAAGTCACCCTAAACCAATTGATACTTAGGGCTTAAGTCGGCCGCAGCATGAAATGCCATTGAGAGTAAATGACCAAAATCCTCACTGGTGTTGAAAGGGCGATAGACACGGCCAATGAGAAAGGAAAACTTATTTTTAATGCAACTTGGAGCAAGCAGCTGCCACCTACCGCGGAAAAATGTGGCGAGTACAGAGAGAGAAATATAAGTGTTTGTCAAACGTAGATGCAAATCCCCTCACCACGACTGTCTTGACGATCATTACGAGTGCAACTATAGCCTAGAAGAGGGATTTCGGAATCAGCTACGGAAGCTGATTCCCATGTTTCAGTTACTTAGACAATATCTGGGCAGTGGACGAACACCAAAGTCTGAAGAAGAGACATCATATTTAGTAAGGAATTATTGTTTGGTTCTGGGTGACCATTGCTTCTGGTGACCATTGTTGGCTAGCTCGTTTTCTGCCGGAAATCCACGGGCTGGGTGCTGTAATTTATTCCCGTCGGCGCGAAGCTGAGGAGCGGATGAATCAACTGACCGCGTATTGACCTTAGTATGAAGAATGCATTGGTAAAACAGCCGTGGAGGACAAATGATGGGGCGTGGGGGACGCACTGCTTGCATTATGATAGAAATTATATTTAGGGGCGGGAATTTTGGCATATTTGGGAGTAGGGCGAGAGAATAACAGATGCAAAGCAGAAGTTTCCCGTGAATGAGGAAACATCAAAGTAATAGGGAGAGTGCTTTAGAGAGGATTTAAGATAAAGAAGACAACCACCCCCACGCCTAGTTGTGCGGTCTTGGCGATAAAAATCGAAGTCATCTATGAGAAGGGCAGAGTCAGGAATTAGAGAATGGGCAAGACAGAGAATTATTCGGGGATATAATTGGAGCTGCGGGGTTTGTAGCCGTGCTGGGCTGAACAGACTTGTTAGATCTAGGAGAAGGCGTCGTACCCCTAAATGGAACCGTACTACCTATCTTTTGCGTCGGAGTCTGATTCAGTTTTCGAGTCTCACCGTTCTGACGCCAAGCCACTGGTTACTTAACTGTAGACCTTACAGCACCCAGTTGGACAATAGAAGTTATCGGTCTAGCTGGTGTAGACGGATTTTCATGTGACTCAGCGGAACTATCCGGAGGATACGAAACGACAAATGGGGCTGCTGCTGCTGCTGCTGCAGCTAGTTTAGGGGCAGGCAAATGCGTCAAGTGGCTCGAGTGAGATGGAGATGTAGGAGAAAGAGGAAGGAGGGAGTTAGATGTGGCAGGAGTAGGACAAGCTGAATCCTCACGGCCACTTGTATTATGACCGAGTTGCATAGGAGTAAGATCATGACAAAGGAAAAATTTTGCCTTTTCTAGGTACGCAGTGGCACGCTCTCGATGGGTAAAGATTGTGCAAACCTCGATTGATGAAAATAATTTGACTAAGATGGGTGGATTTTTGCTACGGGAGGACAAGCGTTTGGTATCGGCTATTTTGTAGTTTAAACCACATGAATACAGGAAATTGGTCGCAACAGCAATTGGCCGAGCAGATCGAGGAACACTTTTTAGCAGAAAGTTGTAAGAACGCTTCTGTCTATCACTAGATTCACTGGCGATCAGGTGAACAAGTGAGTCGAGAAGCCTACATTCTTCAGAGGGAATATCGGATATGTTCTCGTCGAATAAATTTCCAAGAATTGTCAGCAAAGTGCCAAACTTTAGCATAATGTCATTGCAGTGGTCAAGTGCAGAGAGACTAAGCTGCCGACCAATTACAACGGGTGACGACTGACTAGTAATATCATCTGACGTAGATATAGGTAAAGCTTCTGATTTACGTTTAGTTAGGCCATGCTTACCTACAGAAGCCGAGAGCTTACGTCGACCAGTGACTTTTGGTCTCATCTTGTCTCGAGGCAGGTTGTGATTAAGAAAACAGAGCCCTTCGTAGTCACCTCCAGTCGTGCGACGTCGGTCGATGATTGGAGCCTTCGTGCCTTATAACTGCCGCCTGTCCTGTTTCTGACATTATCCCTGACGATGGACTCCTGTACGAGTCTGAAATCTAAGGATAATGAACGAAGTGTTCCGGTGCTCGACGATTCTTCTTCTTCGTCTTCACCTAAGAAAACTTCTGGCAGACAAGTTGACTGAATTTCAGCTAGGGGCTAACGATGTAAAAATAAATTACAACAGTTAGAGAGAAATCGGATGCACAAAATGACAATTGCAGAGTGCGATTACTGAACAACGGGCATAGACTAGAAGAACTCAAAAGGAGATGGCAGCAGGCAGTTCTGAGAGAAGAGGCCTGTATTTAAGGAAATTCAACCAAAAAAAACAAGGGCTAATATCGTTAGGTCTCACAGAAAAACCACTTAAAATAATATCCTCCACTTATCTTCAAATTTAAAACCGGCGGCTTGACCTTGATACACGAGTTGAGGACCACGGTAATCGTAGCTCTCAGTAGGTATCGCGTCCGATCGGGCGCTTTTCCGCTGGAGAGCTGTTACAAGGCCCTGATGTTTTCGTGGAGTGAGGGCAGTAGGCCGGTGCCAATGTTGGTCTCCACCTGAGGCTGATGGGCGATGGCGGCGTCGGAGATGGTGGGGGTATGGCTGAGGACGCCCCTGCAGTTTTCGGCCCATATCTGTAGAATTTGTGTCATCTTAGTGAGTAGGAAATTGCAGTTGGTGCTGAGAAAAGATGCATTTTCGTTGGCTTGCGGACCGTATACGGCTTCGATTGCGGAGAAGAACATGGTCCATTCGCTGCGATCCGCGTAACCTTGGATCTGCTCGGTCTGGCTTGCTGTCCAAGCGTCTTGCATCATGCGCAGCCGCTGTCGCACAAGGGGATGACTACGGTAGAAAGCTGCTTTGCTGTCTTCGGTGGGGTGTTTGACGTAGGCTTTGTGCAGACGGTTCTTCCCGGAGAACAGGTCGTTGATGGCAGCTTCGTTGTTATCAAGTTGGTCCTGGTGCCGACGACGTGCACTACTGAGAACGGCCAGGGCTGTCGACTTGACTAGTTAACGGCGGCGGCATCAGCAATTAGCAGGTTGTCTAGCCGTTGAGCCAGCTCATTGCTGAAGTGGGCATAGTGAGCAAGCAAAGAAATCAAGGCACCCGATATCGCCTTTGTCACCATCACGTCTCGCCGGTCTTGCATCCGGATGAGGATATAATCCAGCCGGTGTCACTAACGCAACCGAAGAAACATCCAGTTGGCCTTCTCTCGCATCAGGAGGTAGAAGAAGTTTTTGTCCAGGATGAGCTGGTGTTCGCCGCTGGTTCGTAGAAGGAACAGGCCCATGCCATTGGAGCCGTTAAAACCATGGGAACCCAGCACTCCTCTGCTGGCAGCATGGTTTGTGCGTCGTGGGCGTTGAAGTTACCAAGGACAATCAACTTATCCGTCTTCGACACAGTCACCAAGAGGACAAGCAGGCCGTCGTAGAATTTGTCCCTTGCGGCGTCGCGGCTGGTCATCGGGGGAGCGCAGAGGCTGCTGGTGATGACGAAGTTAGATTCCTAAAGATGCAGATGCTGGCTCATTAGACGATCGTTCGTAACCTGTGGCAGACAGGACGGTTGTCGCATGATGGCGTTCCGGATGGCAAAGATGATACCCGCCCCCGTCGTTCTGCCTTGGGGTGATCGCTGCAGAGGTAGGTGTAGCCGGCACCAACCTCCTCCAGTTGACCTAGTTCGGAGTACCTGGTTTCTCTGAGTGCAGCGATGCCCACTTTGTAGCGCGCCAGCTTCCTAGCCACGAACGCCGTCCTCCGTTCCGATCGTTTGCTCGTCGGGTTGTCTAAAAGGAAACGAACATTCCAGACTGCCAGAGTGTGCGGACTCAACCTAACAGTCCGGCAAGTGGGACAGCGGAAAAGAGGGGGAGGAGGGGAAAAGGAGGAGGAGGAGGAGGAGGAGGAGGAGGAGACGGAGAAAGAGGAAGAGGAAGAGAGTGTAATGTTTCGCTTTTGGTTTTCTTCGACCGTGAGTTTGACGTCTGTGATTACGGTCGGCCTGCAGATGGCGTAGATCCCTAGCATTTGTTTAGGGCACCTTTTCTACCCCCTTCCTCCTCGCGGGGGTGAGCAGTGCTATCCATACATTGGGTCGCCCAGTTGCGTCAAGCGCTGCTGAACTTCACTATAGGCCACGACTTTATTTAGTGGAATAACAACCCGAGTTATTCTGCGACAGCCTACGACATCACCGCAAGCTTGTGGCCTCCTGTGGTGTAACGGACGGAGCCTCGTCTCGGCTATGTTGATTCGAATATCCATCCGGTCAACGGAGTCCACATTACCGTGCTTGTAGATGTACACACGGATACCCTCACCTGGTTAAGCCCGACAGTCGAGGCGGTTAAGGGGGTGTGGCCGCTTGGCAGAGCCTAGTTTCGGGGGCCATATGTGAGAGTTTGTTGCTAACAAATTGACACTAGGCGTGGTCTGCAGCTGCGACCAACTGAGCGACCTATTACGACCGTCACGGGAACCCACCGCTGGACAACCTACAACCCAGATTTATTGATAGTCTCACAGAGGACACTCTTTTAAATTTCAAGTATATATGACTAATCATAACCACAGGCAATCTGTCCCGTTCTGTTTAATATGGACAATCAGGGGATGTGAAAGTTTTGTCGTCTATTTTATGCACATAGATTGGCGTGTGCTAGTAATTCGCTCACTGGAAAGAACGGCGGTGTTTTCGTTCGTGTGGACATAGATTGAGGTTGGTCGTCTCCCAGATATGTGTCTAAAGTTTGCGTAGAACAGTTGGAAAGTGATTTCCTTGGTCATTTGAATGTTGGACGCGTAATTTGCCGACGCGTGTGCTGGGTCTGGAGAAATTGCTCACGGACAGTAATAGTGGCAGACATTGACAATCAACGGGCAAGCGGTGGCGATAGTTTTGACGTACCGTAACTTAACACAACCGTAATATCGACTTCTCTGGTAGTGCGTAAGGTACGCCTTCAGGTATGTCCGGTTGCTACCATGGCGATTGACACGCAGACCGCGAAAAGTTTAACACCGGAGTATGTCCTGCAAATTTCTCTTTGACAAATTTAGTAAATTCAGACAGTATCACTTCTGCGTTCTTGAGGAAGCAAAATGGATGACCAGCGTGTCTGAGTAGATTATATTTTCACCTTTTACTGTAGTTTTCCCATGTCCCACGAAATTTAACTTCCCATACACTGACGCTGCACATTCGCCGAAATATATAACGACGTGCATTCGGTTAAAACTGTAGTTACAGACGCTACAAACAAGAAACTTGAAAGGAAAACACTGCGTGCGTTTTGTAAGTGTACGGTAGTAGTTCTTCTACTCGAAAATAAGAATTCAATGTGCAAAAGTCTACGGGTTTGTCGAAGTATGCCCGAAACTTCAGAGAGAGAGAGAGAGAGAGCGAGAGAGAGAGAGAGAGAGCAAAAGAGTTCAGGGTTTCAGTTTGGCCCAATTTATGTGAGGAAATTTCTTTTAGCGCCCTTAAATATCCTGTTTGCTAAAAGCAACAAGCATATTCATAAAAATTCGAAAAGGGAACATCGAGCAAGTGAAAAGGATGTATCGAAAAAGTTACAGATAGACAAATGCTTGCAAATGTTAGCAATGCTGATAGGTGCACGTGCACACACTAGTAGAGTATAGCACAGTATTCAGTTTAAGCAAACGCACGCTGCAAAACAAATACTGCGATATCATTTGTCCTCTATCGTGAATGTGGATGTCAGAAAATATGTGCAGCGTGTTCGAACCGGCAATTAAAATTTCGTAAGCAGATATTACTAAAATATGTACAGCAGTGTTGGAACATTATCAAATTCTGATTGAAGCGTCAGGGTGACGTTAGACGGATGGCATTGTCGTGCGTAGTTTTAAACCGATTAATCTTTCTCTTAAGAGCTTCTGCGGATGTAGACATAACGATATTCTCAGGCGGAGCATTCCAAGCTCAAGGCACTCGATTGGGGAAGGACGTTCGCATATCCAACTAGTCCCTGACACGTAGTTTAAACGGATGCGTACAGATGCGTTACGGTCGCCAACTCTAAAAGTCTCCAGTCCAAACCGCGCATAATGCGGGATGAGCGCAACTGGTCGTCTTGAAGGTGTTCGTGTTTAAGGGAAGGAGATAGAAGCTGGACAAGAAGGTTAATATGGTGGTGAGGCCTGGACATTTACAAGTCTATTTGTACACCCGTGAACTTTTTTCGTGGATGCTGAGATCCTTGACGATTTAGGATTGGCGTCTTGATTGACGAGCTCAATTTGCGTCCGCACAAGCGTTCAAAAGCGTTTAACAAAACAGTCTTTATCAAAGGTTAAGTAAGTACGTATGACAAGGCATAATACTGGCACGCTGACCACGCTGACTAGGATACTTTTGAACAGACGACGAGGATTCCAACGGAGAGGAGATCCACACACCCATATGCTTATAAGCGTCCATTACTTACACTGGTATGTCATTCAGACTACAGACTATACACTTTGGTGATAAGGTTTCGCTGACTTGCGGAATGCTGCACTTGCACATATTAAAACGTCAAACGCTAGTCGCTAGACCATTGTTCGAGTTGGGTTGGGTTTGATTGCAAACGCTCTTCATCGGCGTCATCTCAGATGGAGCGTCAGCCCTTGGTACCCCCAGAAAACATGGGGACACTGAAATACGTTTACTGAACGCATGGTTATTGCATATTCTGAACGGAGTAAGGAAAAGAACTGAGCTCAGATATTTTCTCCATCATTTTGCGAAACATTGAATTAAGGTTGGTTTACCTACTGTCGCCCGCAAATACCTTGCTACCGCCGCTATGCAGCGGGACAATCAACGTATATTTCCAATCGGCGAACAAGCAGCTGGCTTCGAACGGGAATGTGGAAAGCACGGAAAACCGTTTGGTTATTTCGCCAGCGAGCTGCTTCAGCTGTTTGAGTAATATTTCTGGACCGAACGATTTTGACTCATTTAACATCAACAGCCTTTTGTTAGCAGTTTTCCGGCAAAATGTATAGTCTTAATCGTGGAGTTTCCCAAGAAGCCGAAGAAAGGAAGAGTAAATTTACTTTACCTCGTACAAAGGAACCTGAAAATTGTCAATGGTACCCTACCTTTTCTCAGTTTGCATTAATTTCTAATTCCTTGATATTCTTCAGTAGGGGAGTGAGATCACTACTATACGTGCGCCTTCTTATTTGCTCATAAAATAAGCTCGAAGTATCAGCGCACGATTCAGCGGCTTTTTCGTACTGATGTCGTGTTCTGAGGATAAGTCGCCGAAATTGGCCTCTCTGCGTCTTGCCTGCATTTATCGACACAATGTTCCTATCAGAGGAAAATTTATTTCTTAGCCTCTTGTCTTTGTTCACTTCTCTTTTCAATGTACGCGTCGGCTACCGGAATTTATTGCTCAACCCTTGCGTGAAATGGGGCAGTAGGTTTGGAGATAAGTTTGCAACAACTCGCAAAATCGCTGCCTGTCCTCGTCTACGTTGCTGGAAAGCGTATACAAATGAAAGAGAGGCAACCGACGGTTGGTAGTAAGAGGTTTATTTTTAACGAAGATTAAGGGTACTGCAAAAGTATAACTTTGTAACAGTGTAAATTTTTCGGTTTGTTTTAATTCACCAATGAAAATATCGCGTTTGCGGATCTATAAAATGGATATCAGGTCTGTCCAGTGAGTGCATAAGTGATCCTCAAGTTTATTGCAACAGCAGGTAAGGCAGCCAACATTAGTTTGCGGTTGCGTTTTATGAGCATTACTCTGTAGTTTGAAATAGTCTGCATTTTTCTTAGAAACAAGTTCAAACAAGAAGTGCGTCTGACTACGATCGTTTTAGCAAGTGCGGTACGTCGCATTAATAGACGTTTCTTATATCAGCGATAATTAGAGCCGTATTGGCTGAAAGTTGAAATTTCACCTTCAGGAGGTTCAGAACATTTTTGGTAAACGCTGTCCTGTCTGAATTTTGGACTTGATTTTTAAATTTTAAATCATTCAAGTTAAATTTATAATCCGCTTAGAAGTTACTAACAGGATTATAGTCCAGGCCCAGATATCGATCTTCAAAAATTTGCATGCACATTTGTATAGGCAATTTTCCTAAGATAATATTTTAGAATAGTTGATAAAATTGAGGAAGGATTGGAAGTATATATTCCTCCGTTAGTACTGCCAAATTAAGTACTAGTGTAGGATCTCCTACGACGAGATCCGAACAATAAGATTAAGTAATGACTTTATGCTTTTTCACACATGGCCTAGTTAAACAGCAGTTGCTAACGGTTCTAGTTATGGTTCATAGGAACGTTTTGCACATTATTAATATCAGAGATTCACTTTAATTAATCTTATGTATTGCAGATGTTAAGTGTTGATCAAAATTAAAAAGCATTACTGGATAACTGTCTTGAATTAAAGTGCCTTATTACGGCTTGCCCCTGCTCACTACCATGTCTTTGATAATTTGCAGAAAGAAGCCACAATATTCTGTCCGATAAATAGTGTAAGTATGCCGTTTCTATGTATGGTTATATTCAAGTCGATATGACCGAGGTTGAAGTCTTCGAACTTTAACGGAAGCTCAGGAATCGGATACCATAGCCAGAACCCAAGGGCAGCTTAAAAGCATTTTACCCTTTTGCAAGAGTTTGCCTGAGTTTTAGATTCATGCAATTTGCATGAGAATGTAGGAGAAATCTGGCAATATGAACGCTAGTTATGAATTGTTCAGTAAAATTTCATACAAAGCAAATATTATGACTGTGCCTAACTACGAAAATTCTGCTTGATGAAATGGAACGATTACAGTATTTTCCTCAAGTTAACACTCCAACAGTGCGCGTATTTCCTTCAATTTTCCTGACACATTTGTAACGGGAATCTGATATGTAATTTAAATGACTGAGGCTCCCTTTTGTTGACAGCAGGTCTCTTCCAGTCAGCGCCTTCCAATGGCGATTTCCGCTTATAGTTGTTCTCCAAACCCTCGTCTCCTTAATGCTATCTTTGTTTATAAAAATG